AGATAAAAACCAGCTCACCTTTATAATGTTTACCAAATGCTCTGCACCTCGCCATGTAATATTACAGGCAGTGAAATCCACCGTTTTAATAGTTGCTGAATACTTCACACTCTGACAGATAGCTGAATCAATTAAAAAAAAAAAAAGGATAATTCAGCAACAATTAAATGTCATTTAGTCTGAAATGGAAATATTTTTACACTTCTGACTCACTCTCTAGTCCATCGTCTGCAATGGGACAGTGCGCCAAAGACAAATGTTCCAATGACACACTCTTGGACAAACCCTGGAGAAGGAGAAAAAGAAAACGTCTGAAAATGGACATAGTGAAAATGTTAGTACTTAAGCCCCTCCCTCCCTCCCTCTCTCTACCTTAGTGAGTGTGTCAAGGTCTCGCTCTCTCAGAGGCAGCCCGTGCAGGTGGAGCGTTTTAAGGTTGTGTGAAACACCAAGGCATTTCTGCACAGCTTTGCAAAGCTGAAACGTCATACTCTTTGAATGGATAGCAGGAATCCTCTTCCTGACGGACGGCTTATAGGAACCTGAAAGAGAGAATCACAGAGTATCAATTGACAATCAGGAGATTTGAAAAATTGTTCTCTCACTTCTAAAGTAGTGAGACAGTGTAAATTGACAAATCTAAATGATTGGCTGCAGTAAAGTATTAAACCAATCGTACTGAGCTGGAAATTTGTGTGAGGCAATACGACCCATCCATCCACCTATCCATTTTCCATACCTACACAGGGTTGTCGGGAGCCTGGAGCCTATCCCAGGGCCAACTTGGGGCACAAGGCGCCAACCCATCGCAGAGCCCAGTCTCACACAGATTCACACACCCACTCACACACTACGGACAATGTAAAATAGGCGATCAGTGTACACTGCACGTCTTTGGACTGGGGGAGGAAACCGGAGTACTAGGATAAAACCCCCAAAGAATGGGGAGAACATATGTTCACATTATTTTTTTAATTATAGCTTTTCCCTTATTTGGTCTTGGCCAATTCCTACCCACCAGTTACGTCCTCCCCATCATATGACAACCACCAATCTGGGAGGGTGAAGGCTATCACATGCTTCATCCAGGACACGTGAAGCCAGCCAACCAAATCTTTCCGAACTGCTGCTCACAGCATCATCTACCCTCTTCCACATATATGAGCTCATAACCGGCTAGTGTTGCTTTGAAGGAGCGTCTTCCAAAGTGTTTTTCAAGTAAGAATTTTTTTTTAAATGTTACATTTTTATACCAAAGTGCAGGTGACTACTACGGAATTACCAACCCTGAGAGCCCAGACTGGCGAGATAGCAACTTCTGACGCCGACATGGTGCAGCTGTTTGTTGATGGATAATGCTGACAGTATAGGCGCCCAGTCTGGGAAACTGATGGTATCGCCGTTAAAGTCCAGAACCCCTCGGTTCAGACCCAACCTCAACGCGGCGACCGGAGCCGAGCCCTGAGTCGCACACAAGGACTCGTAGCAGGCCTCGAAGTCCTGAGCCGCTCGCCGTCTGATCTGAGCAGACCCCTGCATCGTCCACGTTAACACCTAGTGATAGATGAGTGGAGAAAAGATCACACACAGGTTCAGTAGGAACACCAAAATCCATACTGATGTGATACCAAGAAACATTAGAGGTGTGATGGAGTCCTGCATTTATCTGTGAGTCATTCAGGATGATGTAAATTATCTAAACCCCTTTAAGAAAGTGTCAGAATTATTTTTAACGTTAAACAATATATTCTAGAGCCTAATTTGCATTGTGAGTTCATACTAATTCTGCAAAATGTACTGGAACAACGAATTCTAAACGACATAAGTCCATAAAGTTAACGTTCGCTCCTACCTTTTTCAATTAAACGACTGTATCTAGGCTATATTTATAACGTTTATCCATCAGCTAAGCTAGCAAGCAAAGATTATTAACTAAAAGAGTTCAAAACTGTCCAGTTTGGTTTTTCATCGTAATTTTGAATTCACTCCCTTACCGTTAGTGCTTGTTTGTTATTGCTGTTTCCTTATCAACCGCCTCCAAGGAGGATTTGTTTTTGATGTACCGCCGCGGATGTTTAAAAAAAAAATAGAAGAAGAAAAAAGAACGCCTTTATTTCTTCTTCGTCGTCTTTCTTCTGTGTTTTTAATGAGTAGCGCTCCTACCGGCGATAAGTGGAACCGCATCTCACCTGTGAGTGAAGACAGTTTTTTAATCATTTAAGCGCACACTGTCTTTTTTGTTTGTTTGTTTGTTTGTTTGTGTTTGTTTGAATTGGCAAATAACAAGCAATATACAATCACATCTATGGCCAACAGCCAGGCCAGGAATTTACAATTAACGGGAAAATAACATTAATGGACATTAAATCACACCAAAAGAGCCTTGTGTTTTAAATGCGTGGCTCTACTGGCCTCTCGTGGCAAAACGTGGAACTGCCCATCATCTGTGAGTGAAGCCATGCAGTTTATGATTGAAGTGCACTTTTTAATTATTAATCTGCAAACAGCAAGCAGACCAGGGCCTTACAAGTATCGAGAAATAGCATTAATGTACAAAAGAGGAAGCTTCTGTGGTTTTATGCATGGTTCTAATGGCCTCTACCGGAGAGAAGTAGAACTGCACTTTAGCTATACGGTTCATGAGGTTCAATGGGCATTCTTTTTTCTTTTTCTTTCTTTCTTTCTTTTTTATTTCTTTTTTATTTATTTAATTCAAAAACAACAAGCGAGATATAGCCAGGTTGAGATAACAGCAAAACCAGGAGATTATAGATGACGGAACTATCACTAATGGACATTCAAGAACCAATAAAATAGACTTGTATGTTTTCAAAAAATAAAATAATATATATATATATATATATATATATATATATATATATATATATAAATAAAAATAAAGGGGGGTGGATGGAAAATAAAGCAAAGCCATTGTACACCATCAGCATTGTTAAGGTGTATCTGTTATGTAGAAATTACATAACAGATACACAAAAACAGGACATTTATTATTTATATTTGTGAATGAAGCATGTAGCCATGAGAATAACTTTAAACTTCAATCAAACCATTTTATGTCCTCAAACTGAAAAACAATATAAAAAGCCATTTTGGACTATAAGCCCATAAGAGTTTTACATATATAAATTAGAATAATTAATAAATATCTTTCACCTTGGGAGAGACAGGAAGTTTGAGATATATTGTGGTTGAAGCACATTCAAAGGTTGACAGAAAATAACAATTCAAATCTAATCAGGGGTGTGACTATATTGGTAGCACATTTTGGGGGTGGCATGGGTATGCTTGAAGTAATCCATGCTACCCCAAATGTATTTCTCCCATTTAGTTTATGCAGAGTTAAACATATCAGGATCGTGCTCATTTAAATGATCAAATGCTGTAGGTGTCTCCACCAAAGACCTTGAGTATTGGGAAAGACACTATATAGAAATATAGTATTAGGAAATGTGGCATTATTGTATATATAATCACTTAATACTCCTGAAAAAAAAATCAAACTGGATCAACCACTTACTCCAAATATGCGTATTTCTTATTAAATAATGATAAACCAAACTGTATGTGAACTACACACCCAAGGTACTTTATATTTAATGCAGTGGTATATATTAGATTAGTACTTACATTAGTATTAGTGTTTCATTTTGGTTATCATATTATGAAGCCTACACAAGCTTTCCTTTAAATTTCGGAGGCAAACCTACGCCCTGATTTTCTAACATGGAAATGAGGTGCCCTGCTTTTTTTTTTTTTTTTTTTTTTTTTTTACTTTGGCTTATTCGCAACGAAGAAAGCATAATTTCACTTGAAAAGCAGTTGCAAATCTGGGCCTTGAGGTTTTGAATGCAGTCAACAAGGCAGAATGGCCTTGTCCCTCTGATTTGTTTCTGGAGGCATAAAATTTTACACAAGCATTTGTAAGTATGAATATATAAAATGTTTTGTACATTATTGAAATACACACTTGTCAACATCAAATAATTATTTTGAAGGAAAACCTCTCCAAGTGACTTGAGTGGTTTTTCAGAAAATACTGTGACCAGTAGTTCTAGTTGAATTTATAAAAGCCATCTCTATGTGCATTTTCTAGAAGACATCACTAAAATGTGCAAAACGACACCTTATTAATGATATAGTGCTTTATTATTATGATGATTTGATTAGATTTTTTACCATATTAGCCAAGTCCAAAAGGACAATAGACAATATGTATCAGTTTGTGTCCAAATGATTGACCCAGTAGGCACAGATACCTATAATACTACATTGTGAATGTATGGTATAACCTAGAGGATAAAGAAATTGCACATTTGTAGGAAATAAGGAGTAGGGCACTGTTTTGGTATTAAGTGCATTATGAGTCATTGACACATTTCTTTCAAACAACTTTTTTGAAATGAAACCTTATTTAAACATGTATTTTTACATTCACAACATAATATTGAGTAGGATAATTTTGTGGTCATAACAACATGATTTAGATCAGAAAAAAAATCCTTCCATTAGTCTGATAACTGCAGCCTCTCTTAGACCAGACCCCTGGCTTCCAACAGCAATGAGCCCCAGAAAAAAACCTCCTGGTGCTACTACTTTCCTCTGTAACTTTCCACACTCTTCCTGATTTGCATACCATTGGGCCAAAGAGCCATCCAAAACTTGATCAATTACTTGACTGATGTGCCTGGTCCACCAAAAAGGAGAATTGCCTACACTCTCATTAAGAAATACAGATCCCATGAATATGTAGATTGAATAAACCCTTCTCCTGACCTTTGAATAACTAATGTTCCATGGCCTGAGTTTGCATACTGAAACATGATTGGCTATTATAGTTAATGATACAATAACTTTTACCTGTCACATGTTGAATACTAACTCAGATGTTTAGCTTTTTCTTTCTTAAAAAAATGTGGAAAAAACATTTAGTGGTATTATTATTCTTGTTGAATAATAATAAATATTGTTGTTTTATCGGGCGCACGGTGGCTTAGTGGTTAGCATGTTCGCCTGTTTGCCTCACACCGCCAGGGTTGTGGGTTCGATTCCCACCGCTGCTCTGTGCTGCGGGGGTTTCCTCCGGGTTCTCCGGTTTCCTCCCGCAGTCCAGAGACATGCATGGTAGGCTGATTGTAGGCTGAATATTTATTATTATTAACTGATTGGCATGTCCGAAGTGTCTGTAGTGTATGAATGGGTGTGTGAATGTGTATGTGATTGTGTCCTGCGATGGATTGGCACCCTGTCCAGGGTGTACCCCGCCTTGTGCCCCATGCTCCCTGGGATAGGCTTCAGGTACTTCAGGTCCCCATGACCCTGAAAAGGAGTAAGCGGTATAGAAGATGGATGGATGGTTGCTTTGTATGACCATGAAGACTTGTGCAGTTTTGCAGTGTCATTTGAGTCAGCCAATCAAGTAAAAGGAGGTGGGGCTTGCTTTGACACAATTGTCAAAGCAAGACAAGAAGCATTCATTGTGGTGAACTATTTCAATCGCTTAAAAAAATCATTACAAACAGCTAAAAGTTGATACATATTGACAATAAACATGATTGGCAATGGGGGTTGAATAATTTTGATTGCAAATTGTTTTTCCAATTTAACCAAAAAACACACAGGGAATGACTGTACATAAGTCATAATAGGAACTAAGTTGTTTCGCAGATGTCCCACAACATTAAAGGTAACTATAAACAGTTAAAATATATTATTTCCTTCGCTGTAACGCTGTAATTGTTGGCAGATAAGTTGTATAAGAGGAACAAAATAATTTGGGACATACTGTTATACTAAAATAATCCACTTTGGTGTGGTAGGAGCAACTCTGCTTCACATCAGGCCATGTCGCAACACCCAGTTATTAATTATTTTAACTGCTTGCCACCATGTGTTTTATTGTTTAAATATTCAATAAAAAAAAAAAAAGCCTGCGATGGATTGGCACCCTGTCCTGAGCCCAAAGCTCCCTGGGATAGGCTCCAGGTTCCCCGTGACCCTGAGAAGGAGTAAGCAGTAGAAGATGGATGGATGGATGAAATAAAAAAATTCTGCATTGTAAACGGTGATACAATTGACCTAAAAAAAAAAACAGCCAGAAAACCAATGGTATTGAAATTTTAAGTCATGTATAATATCTGGTCATAGAACTTAAATATTTAGTTATATAGGGAGTACTCAAAAAAAAGAACATCAATCCAGCCATCCATTTTCCACACCGCTTATCCGACACATGGTCACAAGGGAGCCTGAAACCTCTCACAGTAAACTACAGGGCAGGGGACAACCAGGACGAGGTGCCAACCCATTGCAGGGCACAATCACACACCCATTCACACACTACAGACAATTTGGAAACACCAATCAGCCTTCAACGCATGTCTTTTGGAATGGAGGAGGAAACCAGACTACCCGGAGGAAACCCCAGGAGAAAATGCAAACTCAATGCACACAGGGCGGAGTTGGGATTTGAATCCCCAACCCCAGAGCTGCAAGGCAAACATGATAACCACTATTATTATTATTATTATTATTATTATACAAACACTCACAACACTAAGGAAATGTTAGGGAAGTAAGTGATTTAAAATTGTAATACATCTTTAAAAAAAAAAAAAAGGTACAAGTTATTGAAGCAACAAGAACCACAACTTTGAAGCCTTTTCTCTTTCCTTCTCTTCAGAAAACCTCCTATAGGCTACGTAAACTGTTCCCATATGCAAATGAGTCCAGATGAGGTCATGAATATGCAAATCAGACCCTGCTGTCATTTCAGTCTTGTTGAGCATGCGTTAACTACTATCCTACACTTGTCCTCCTTAAAGTCCTGTCTTCTGGGCACAGGGACACGGAGACCAGCCAAGAACTAAGTAGGATGCTAGAAAAACATGAAAAAGGGAATCGAATAATAAAGGAACTTTTTTACGCTATAGGCTGTATTTAGACTCCAGTAGACGTAGCTGGACTGGAGCAACAACAAAGGCAAGTCAGTGGAGGGACAGAAAGAAACGTTTAGCATCTGTCTTTTTTTTTTTTTTTTTTTTTTACGTGAACATACGTGTGTGTGTGTGAGACAGAGAGAGAGAGAGAGCGCGAGAGAGAGGGGGGAAAAGTGTGTTTAGAGAGCGTGAGAAGTGATGGCGGGGTGTTGTTTGTCCGCGGAGGAGAAGGAGCGTCGGAGGATCAATCAGGAGATCGACAAGCAGCTCCGGCGTGACAAGAATGACTCCAGGAGAGAGCTCAAGCTCCTGCTGCTGGGTAAGCCATATCACATCACCTTCAGCTAATCACTATACATTCATAATAAAGCCATACGTGCAGATTTGGCCAGGTTTTAGATCTGATAAAGGTGATTGTAAAGTGCACAATGTAGTTTTCCTCATTGCTGGTGTGCACATCAAGACTACAATAGTTGTACCTTCAGTATGTATCTTTCACATGGAAATAGTGTCCCTAACAAGTACAGGTAGATAAATCAACCTTAAAAACCATTGGTGTATCTTTAAAGCTTTACATCTCAAATAAAAAAAAGCCAATTAAATGCACCTTCGTAGGTAAGGTTCCTACACATCAAAGCGGGGAAAGGATGGATCCTTGAAGATACCACACTAGCAACAAGTAAACAAGTGTACTACCTTTATGGTAAAAGGTTGTGACACTATGGGGTACAGAACAGCCAACAACTGTAGACGTCTCATTTCTCCACTGGATGTGACTTTTACGTCCAGCAAGAAACCAGGTTAAGGTTAAAAAAAAAAAAAAAAAAAGAAGTTAAAGTGACCTATTGATCCAGGTCATGCTTACCGCATGAAAAAAAAAAAAACACGGCTAAGTAATGTGTAATCATATGTGGAGGGGAAAAAAAACTTTGAGGTGGAGGAGGGGGTGGGAGTACCAATTTTTAACCCGACATGCCCTGAAATTGTGTGTGAACTCATGATATTAATCGTACGAACAATCTGAAATAACCGTGAAGAATGGTTCCTGTGAGCAAGTTACTTCTCATAAATGGAACCATGTGACAACACATGAACCGTCTAAAACCAACGCGTGTGAATTTCACGTGAATTTCAGTGCGTTTCACGGTTCGTGAAATTGCGTGTGCGTGAAGCACTTACAAATTGACATAGTAATTTTATTCGTACGTGAACTTAACGTGACGTTACGGCTTTGTTTAGTTTTTTAAGGTACATTACGGACATGCCGTGTTTGTTTTGTTACATCTGATGCAGGTCTCCTCACTTAACAAGTTGGTGTAAACACTTCTTTTCATTTGTTTAAACCTGTAAACCAATGCACATCATACTAACTGAAGACAAATTGATCAGTCAATGAACTCGGTTGCACCGATAGACTTTCCGAACTCCGTGTATCAGCCCGAGTTTCCCAGCGCACAGAGATCAGAACTAAATGTATGTATACGTTTATGTGAAACATCAAATGAACAATGGCAACATGCTTCAAAACACGTAGAGTCCTGTGTTTAAGACGTTTTTCGTACACATTCAAAATACCTCACTGGACCAGATGATGAATGACGTCAAAATGACCTAGTCAAGATCCACATGATACATCCTCAAATCCATTAAGATCATGTGATGCAACAATCCAATATTAACCTCCAGTCTAGCTAATGAGCGCCAGTTGTACGGCCAGTTGTTTAAGTTTTAATTGATTTACAGATTTTACATAAAAACAGCATCCTGACATCACAACATGTCGTATTTCGCAAACAAATAAGTGATTACTCCAAGAAACTGTTTAATTAGGGTTTGAGCAGGTACAAATATCTTCCCAAAGATCCTTGAGGTCTGTATATTTTTTTTGGGGGGTTTGTGCTGTAAAGAAGATTTCTGTCCACATGCATTTCAATTTGCTTACAATTAACATTGTAGCATAGCTGTTACCATTGTACATGTGCATAGCTTAGGGACTTTCCTGTCTTGACATTGACCTTTCGTGCTGATCTGGGGTCAGTGTAATGATCAGTCTCTCACAATGCTTAACCGCATGTACCTATTCCTACAGTGTGAGAGCTGTGGCTTTAGTTACTGTAGCATGGTTTGGGGAACTCTAGTTTATGGCTGCACGGCCACCATGACTGCTGCAGCTATGCAAAAGCATGCAAAGCACAACGCCCGCAGGTGAATGAACTCGAAGCCGAATTTCCTCAAGAGCACGCAGCGCAGACTACACACGCAGCTATATTTCTCTTTCTTCTCCATCATCTGTCTGTCTTTCAGTTCATTTCAATGGAATGTTACCGCCCCTTTTATTATCACCATACAAACCCATGGCCAAGAGCCTACACTATAAAAGAAATAATAGTTTATATCCATTTCATATCTTTCTTAACTCTGATGCTTATGACGAACCCGTGTGTAGTAGTGTAGTGTAGATTAAAGGACGCCCCTCCTACTGTATATGAGAATGAGCAAATCAGCAGTGCAGTTGAGTGTGTGAAGCTCACAGCGTGGAAGTCTGATTAACGTCTCTGTAGATTCATTATCTCGCTAACTGACCACACCGGCTCTTCCCAAGAGACCAGCTCTACCCAAGAAAGCTTCTGCTTGAAAATACCTCACAGGTACAGCTAGGAGTAGAATGAGATGAGGGACATGAACATGTAACACCACATATATGGTGCAACATGGATGAAAGTCTTATAAGAGTACTTATAGAGCATCAGTCTCAAATCATCCGGACTTATTTCAGTAAAATCTGACAAAATGATTTGGATTCTCAAACGTTTTGCAGGATCCATTTAACTGTAAAATAAATTCTATGGATCGATGTAGTTCACGAACATTGTTTAAATGTGTACAGCAATATTTTGTCTTTTTATTGGAGTCATATGCCTGAACTTTCCACTGGCGTAACATTAAGTCAAAATGGACATTATTTACTGCATATACAGCACGACGTTTTGTTGTGGTTGGGATTGAACACAATTAAAATCAAATGAGCAGTCAACCGGGCTAATAACTATAAGAACGCAAGAATAAATATAGTTTGATAACGGTGGGTTGTGATTTCCACCGCTAGATAAGTAAATAAATAAAAA